GAAATAAGATACAAAGCAGTGCCCGTAATACGGTGTATCCGTCCGTTTAAGAAGCTATCTTCGATCTATTTTCGCATACTTTAGACACCATCTTTATTCGATTTCAATGTCCTATTATATCTGTTTTCACCTTTTTGAGACGTTCCTTCTGATGACAGAAATGACTGACGGAGATGATTTATTTTAGTTCAAATATGATCAAAGAGTCTTCGTAAGGAAGGTAGAAAGTGGTTTATTCTTGTTGAAAGAAAAGTGCTTTTAATTACGATTATTAAATTCGTACCAAATGACATTTACCGAACCTCTTCAATTAGAAATCCAGCCATGGCACTGATTGTTCAACGAAGCATCGTCCTACGGCGCCACTATTGTGGATGCTGGCGGAAGTATGCAATTTACCGACATCAATGTCTGCTTTTATTAATGTTCGAATTCCATCCTGCATGGCTTTTTTATGACTTTCATCTTTCGTTCAATTGAAATAGGTTTACTTAAAGAAAAAGGAAATAATCAAACAAGTCATGCAAATCTTTCTGACCGAAAGTCTTATATTGAAGATATATATATACAGTACTCCACATAAGTCTCCGGCCCCCTAGAAAATTCTAGAACTTGCTTGAATATTTGTTCTACTACTATATATAGACAACAGACATAGCCTCCTGCTCATGTAACTTGATTCGAACTTTAAAGATTATTCTATAGATCAATAATAGGAAATGACACTTTCAGTGGACAAACGATATGAAATTATCTTTTTATCTCGTCATCCAATGGGACCACAACTTGGTGTGAAGGCTGTTGCAAAAGCAATAAAGTGTGCAAAGAGTACTGTACAATATTGGCTCAACAGATGGAAAGAATCTAAAGATCTAAGTGACTCGAAGCGTATTGGACGACCTCGTAGCACAACGAAAAAAGTGGATCAACGAATCAGTGACCTCGCCAGCACCGACAATATTGCCACAACACGCGACATACAACGTGTCCTAAAGTGAAAGAATGTAGACATCAGTCAGGAGACAATTCGGCGTCGATTGAAAGAATATGGGGCCAAGTTTAGTCTGCCAATATCAAAACCACTTTTAACAGAAAAACATCTACAAAAACGTCTTGAATGGGCCCATGCTGCAGGTGATATGAATTGGAATCGAATAATTTTTTCCGATGAGACTACTGTACGTCTAAGCCAGCTGAAACGGTGTGTTTGGAATTTACCGGGAAAGAGAAAAGTCTTTCGAACAGTAAAGTATCCAATAAAGGTGAACATTTGGGGATGTTTTTCATGCAACGGCTTTGGTCGCATTTGTTGTTTCCGTGAAAATCTTAAGGCCGACTTGCTTTGTAGAATTTATAAGCGTTATCTATTGCCAACTGCCAGAGATCACTTTGGACGAAATTCAACTAATTGGGCCTTACAAGAAGATAATGATCCAAAGCACACATCCCAACTTGCAAAACAATGGAGATCGAAGTATGAAGTCCAACGAATCGATTGGCCATCAATGTCACCAGACCTCAATCCGATCGAAAACGTTTGGAAGCTTCTCAAAATGAATTTGGCAAGGAAAAATCTTCGAACTTACAAGTCTTTAGTTTCGGCGATAAAAAAAAGAATGGAAAGCCTTTCCAAAAGATCTAACAACCAATCTTGTACGAAGTATGAAAAATCGTATTTCTGATGTCATTTCTAATAAAGGTGACTTCATTATGTATTGATGATCAGAACATGAAATAAACTTAAAAAACACATAAAAATATTCAACTGTTTATTCTCACTGAAAAAGTTAAGAGGGGCCGGAGACTTATGTGGAGTACTGTATGTTTATTGATAAATATTAAATCGAAAATATTTACCAAAATTACAAAAACAAATCCTTTTAAACATAACTACCAATCTTCCTTTTTCTGCGGATGGTCTTCATCGTCATCGGTGCATTCATTCTCTCTCCTTTTTCACTAGTTTTTTCAAAAACCAATCCCATCGAAGTGTGAGTTCATCCATTATGGAATCAAAATCAACTTTATTTCCTTTTCCTTTACATTTTCTCGGGCGAACAAATATCCATTCACCATCTTCAACCTCTGACAGATCTTCTTCGTTATGAATTATCATTCTTCCTGTGCCTGCTTTCGCATTTTTTAGTGTTTTTATAATTTGTTTAGTCGTTTTCAATGTTATCATATTGATATAAACACTATGCTCTTTTTCTAAAGATGCGATATAACCATCTCTACCAATAAATCGGCTACGTTGTACTTTTTTTGCAGCTTCGTTTAGCGAATCGAGCTTTCGTTCATTTGCAAGTTTATATGGTAAATAGAGAAATCTTCCATTTTTAAGTGCTTTTGGTGAGTTACTGCTTCTATTTCTTCTCAGCATACATCTTCGAGTATGCATACTTTGCTTTTCTTCAAGATCAGATGAATCATTATCAAGTTTTCTTATAGGTTTATCAAAGATTGATGATGATAATACGTATTTATGTGAAATCCTATTCTTTTTTAAGAATTTTTTTAATCTGTACAATGATAGAAGAAGTTTAGAATCGTTTGTTTTATCTCGATCTATTTGATCAGTAAGAATTTTCAATTTCATTAATTTATTTTTGCGATCAATAGAAACACTTTTTGATGTTTGCTGGCCAAGGTCATTGC